AGACAGTTTATTATTTACGCTAACAGCAAAAGAGGAGCCAAAATTCCAGTTCCCTGTTATCTTTGTCCCACATAACAAAAAAGATGACCTCCAAACAATAAGGATCAGAATATTGCAACACAAGGTGTGGGACATCCCATTGCTGTAGAGCTAATTCTAGACTGCAACTAGGTGGTTTTGTAGTCTGCAGCTGTAATCCAAAGGGTCAAGGCAAAAAGCTTCATACCTCAGCAGTAAGTAGCCCAAGGCAAGGAGGAACTCAGGGGTGATGGCATTGAACTAGCTCATCGAGGACCTTCTATTCCCTGAACTCTGGGAGAATAATAAGCCCTTCTGCCAAGACTCATATAAACTGTGATTCAGGCCTTTGCCTGCATGATTTAGGTGGGTATGTGTAAGGTTACCAGGGTGCCGAGTGGAGTTGTTCCCCTATAGGCCCCATGTGGAGTCTATTACTGTGATCTTACGTCAAGACTCACACTTTTGGAGTTATGTGGATGCTCATTTGGAAAGGTTAGAAGAAAACCACTCAGCCAATCATGTTCAGCAGGAGTAACCAGGGAGGTCCAGACTTTCCTGGCCTAGAGATCATTTGAATGTTTACAGTATGCTACCTAAACCAATTTTACTAAAGTTCTTTCCCACCTCCAAGGTAAGAAATTTAGTGACTGAATTATAGGGATAATAATACCTATCCTAGAGTGCTTGTGAAGACTAAATTAGATAATATAAATAAATCTTGTACAGTATGTAGTATGTAGCAGATGCTAATCAAATGATAGTTCCTTTTACTCATTAATTTGTTTATAATTTATTTATTCAACACATACTTTATGAAAATGTACTGTCATCCAGATATTAAGTCAGATACTGGATAGGTATTGATGAGTATAGTAGACAAGGCTCCATTCTCATGAAATATTCAAGCTTATTGGAAAGACAAGCACACAATAAATATATATTCACAAATTATGTATGTTAAGTACTAAGCAGAAATAACATATATTACAGTGGACATATTGAGAGACCAAAAATGTAATGCAAGCAATAACTACTACATCTTAAAGGAACCTACGTAACCTAGTCCACAAGACAAGATGTATAAACTTTTTTGTTGTTTTTAAGTATATTTTAGTGGTTATACTATTACAGTTGTCCCATTTATTCCCCTTTGCCCTCTTCTGCCTGGTATACCCTTCCCTCCAGCAATCCTTCCCCTTAAGTCATATCCATGGGTCATGCATATAAGTTCTTTGGTTTCTACATTCCCTATACTATTCTTAACATTCCCTGCCTATTTTGTACCTACCAATTATGCTTCTTAATCCCTGTACCCTATCCCCTCATTCTCCCCCTTCCCATTCCCAGCTGATAACCCTCCAGATGCTCTCCATATCTATCATTCTCGTCCTATTCTTCTTGTTTGCTTAGTTTGGGTGTGTTTTTTTTTGGGGGGGGGTAGATTCAGTTGTTGATAGTTGTGAATTTGTTGCCCTTTTAATGTTCATAGTTTTTATCTTTTTCTTAAAGAAGTCCCTTTCACCTTTCATATAATAATGGCTTGGTCATGATGAACTTCTTTAGCTTTACTTTGTCTGAGGAGCACTTTATCTGTCCTTCCATTCTAAATTATAGCTTTGCTGGATGGAGTAATCTTGGTTGTACATCCTTGCTTTTCATCACTTTGAATACTTCTTGCCAATCCCTTCTTGCCTGTAAGGTTTCTTTTGAGAAATCAGCTGATAGCCTTCTGGGAACTCCTCTGTAGACAACTCTTTCCTTTTCTCTTGCTGCTTTTAAGATTCTCTTTATCTTTAACCTTTGACACTTTTTCTTATGATGTGTCTTTGTGTGGTCCTCTTTTGGCCCATCTTCTTTGGGACTCTCTGTGCTTCTTAGGCTTGTATGTCTATTTCCTTCACCAAATTAGGGAAGTTTTCTTTCATTATTTTTTCAAATAAGTTTTCAATTTCCTGTTCTTCCTCTTCTCCTTCTGGCATCCCTATGACTCAGATGTTGCCACATTTGAAGAAGCCCCAGAGTCCTCTCATACTATCCTCATTCTTTTTGAATTCTTGTTTCTTCTTTCTGTTCTGGTTGAATGCTTATTCCTTATGTTCCAAATCATTGATTAGAATCCCAGCTTCCTTCCCTTTACTGTTGGTTTCCATGCAGATTTTTCTTTATTTCACTTAGTGTAACTTTCTTTCCCTCATTTACGTTGTTGCTGTACTCAATGTGTTCTTTCAGCATCCAGATCACCAGTGTTCTGAATTCTGCCTCTAAATGAAACCTGGCTATCAGGTTTCATTTAGTTCTTTTTCTGGCATTTGTTCTGTTATTTCATTTGGGCCATATTTCTTTGTCTCCTCAATTTGGCAGCCTCCCTGTGATTGTTTCTGTGTACTAGGTAGCCTTAGGTAATCACCAGGGTGGGGCAACCTGCTTCACTGCTTTGTGGCTCTGTGTATGGGGAGGGCTTGGAGAAGGGACTGTGCTGCTGCCCGGCTCCTGAAGGTTTTCCCAGCACCCACTGTATTCCCAGTCACTTCAGCCCCTCCCCATATGTGACTGGTACCCTTCCAGCTGTTGCCCTGGTGTTGAATACCAAAGTGGGTGGGTTTGCCTGTGTTCTTAGACCGTGAAAGCCCTTTAAGCAGAGTTTCCTGGAAATCTGGCATTTTTTTCCCACAACCCTAACCCTCACTGGATTTTATAGCCAGAATTTGTGGGGATTTATCTTCTTGATGCTGAAACCCTGGACTATGCAGTCTGTCCTGGGGCTGGGAATGCTCTATCCCAAGGTATCCCTCCCAATTTTTATCCACCACACATGAATGTGGGACTACACATGCCCATTCTGCTGCCACCACCACCTCCTCACACCACGCTACATCTTCTTACCTCTTCACCCATCTCAACCCCTTGAACCCATCTGAATGAATGTGCTTCCTTAAATGCTTGGTTGTCAGACTTCCAGACAGTTCAATTTTCTGACAGTTCTGGGTGTTATTTGTTTTGAGATTTAGTTGTATTTCCTTTTGTGGTTGCTCAAGGAGGAGAAGCACATCTACCTACACCTCCATCTTGACCAGAATTCTGTGTAAGCTTTTAGAGGAAAATATATGAAAACATTTCAACTCCAGAATTTCCACTTTTTTTTCCAATTTCTCTTTATTGGTATTTTCTAGCTGATAAAATTAATTCTTTAGATATGGTTTCCTCTAGTTCTTTATATTTGTATATTTATAAAATTAATATTTATAAATGTTTAATTCTATATTTAAGTAATAAATTATATATATATTCTACTCAAGGCCTATTTAAAGTCTTTATCTATTAATTGTACCATTTGGACCCCTCAGGGACAATTTCTATAGGCTGTTTTCTTTCCTGTGTATCAACCATACTTTTCCATTTCTCTGAAAATATTTAAAAAATTTTCACTAAAAACTGGACATTATAAAGATGGAGGCATAGGTAGGTACACTTTGCCTCCTCACACAACCAAAAGAAGGACAACAACAACAAATTTAAAAACAAAAACAACCAGATCTGCCAGAAAATCACACTGTATGGAAGTCTGAAAACCAAGGAGCTAAAGAAGAAATGTCCATCCAGACTGGTAGGAGGGGTGAGATGGGAGGCCTAGGTGAAGAGGACAGTCAGCAAGGCAGCAGCCAGAGGACCAGATAGGTGAGGCTGCAGCTGGCAGTCCCACATCTGCGTGTATATAAACTGGGAGGAACAACCAGGGAGCAAGACAGATTACACAACCCAGGGTTCCAGCAGGGGAAAAGAAAACATCAAAACCTCTAGCTGTAAAAACCTGTGGTGGTTGCAGTGGTGGGCAAAACTCTCAGCTTCACAGGAGTGTTCACAGAGACATCCACAGAGTCCTAGAACATACACAAACCCACCCACCCACCCCAGAATCAGCTCCAGGAGGGCCCAATTTCCTTGTGGGTAGTGGGGAAGTGACTGAAAGAGGGATGAGAGCCCAGCAAGCAGCATTGTTCACTCTCTGAACCCCCCTCCACATACAATGCCACAATGTAGCAATGTGGATTGCCCCTTCCTGGTGGATACCTAGGGCTCCACCCTTTACAACATACCAGGCATGCTGAGACAAAGAAATATGATCCAAATGAAAGAACAAATCAAAGCTCCCAAAATAGAACTAAGTGATGAAGTGATAGCCAGCTTATCAGAGTTCAAAACACTGTTAATCAGGATGATTGAGAAATGGTTGAGTATGGTCACAAAATACATGAAAAAGTAAAGGCTATGAAAAGTGAAATAAAAAATATAGCCCTGGCTGGCGTAGCTCAGTGGATTGAGCACGGGCTGGGAACTAAAGTGTCCCAGGTTCGATTCCCAGCTAGGGTACATTCCTGGGTTGCAGGCCATAACCCCCAGCAACCGCACATTGATGTTTCTCTCTCTCTCTCCCTCTCTCTCTCTCTCTCCCCTCTCCCTTCCCTCCCTAAAAATAAATAAATAAAATCTTTAAATATATATATATACATGTATACATACATATATACAGGGAACCAACAGTGAAGAGAAGGAAACTGGGATTCAAATCAATGATTTGGAACAAGACGAAGAAATAAACACTCAACCAGAACAGAATGAAGAAATAAGAATTCATAAAAAATGAGGAGAGGCTTAGGAACCTCCAGGACAACTTTAAACATTCCAACATCTGAATCATAGGGGTGCTAGAAGGAGAAAAGGAAGAGAAAGACATTGAAAAATTATTTTTAAAAAAGATAATGCTGGAGAACTTCCCCAGTCTGGACAAGGAAATAGACTTCCAGGAAGTCGAGGAAGCTCAGGGAGTCCCAAAGAAGTTGGACCCAAGGAAGCACACACCAAGGCATTTCTGGCTGTAAAAACCTGTGGGGGTTGCACTGGTGGGAGAAACTCCCAGCCTCATGGGAGAGGTACATTATATTACCCAAGATTAAAGGATAAGGAGAGAACCTTCTTTTTTTAAAGATATGAAATGCTTCACAAATTTGTGTGTCATCCTTGTGCAGGGGCCATGCTAATCTTCTCTGCATTGTTCCAATTTTAGTACATGTGCTGCTGAAGCAAGCACAGATAAGGAGACAATCCTAAAACCAGCAAGAGAAAAGGACACAGTTGCCTACAAAGGAGTGACCATAAGACTGTCAGCTGATGTCTCAAAAGAAACCTTACAGGCAAGAATGGACTGGAGAGAAGTATTCAAAGTCATGAAAGGCAAGGACCTACCTCCAAGATTACTCTATCCAGCAAAGCTTTCATTTCAAATAGAAGGGCAGATAAAGTGGTTCTCAGATAAGGTGAAGTTAAAGGAGATCATCATCACCTAGCTCTTATTATATGAAAATTAAAAGGACTTAGCTAAGAAAATAAAGAAGATCAAAACTATGAACAGTAAAATGACAATGAACTCACAACTATCAAAAACTGAACTTAAAAAAAATAACTAGGCAAATGACTAAAACAGGAACAGAATCACAGAAATGGAGATCACATGGAGGGTTATCAGTGGGAAGTGGGAGGGGGGAGAATGGGGAGAAAGGTACAGGGAATAAGAAGCATAAATGGTAGGTACAAAATAGACAAATAGACAGGGGGAGATTAAGAACAGTATGGGAAACAGAGAGGCCAAAGAACTTACATGTACAACCCATGGACATGAATCGAGGTGCGGGGGATGCTGTAGGGAGAGGAGGTACATTGCGGAGGGGCATAAGGGGGAGAAAAAATGGGACAACTGTAATGGCATAATCAATAAAATATACTTTAACAAAAGAAAACTGGACATTATAGATAATACAATGTGACAACTCTACAAGTCAGATTTCCCTCCCCCCCACTCAGTGTCTATTATTATTGCTGTTTTATGGTTGTTGCTGATGCTCTTTGTTAGTGACCTTTCTGAACTAATTTTATAAATTCTTTATTCTCTGTAGTGTACAGCTACTGAATTCTTTGATCAGAGATTTTCTGAAATGCCTTTAACTAGTCTGTATTCCGTTCTTTGCTGAGAAGCTCTGTGTGCAGGTAGGATAGGGCATGACCTTGACACTCAGGCAGTTTGCAGCTCTGTCACTTCCTGCTTGTGCAGGGCCTCTAGTCAGCTGGAAGAGAGAGACTGACTCCATCTCAGGTTCTCCCAGGAATGCACACAGCCTTGCACATTTGTAGAGACTCTTAGATCCCCAGGAATATATTAGCGTTTTTCAAACCCCCCTGTAGACTCCCCATCCTGTTTCTCCCAACTGGTCTCACAGCTGTGAAGTTAAACAACTGCTGCTGGTTGTTTTCAACAAGTGCCCGGAGAATGGAACTTTGCCACAGATTAAACTCAAAGGCAGGAAAAAATTAACAGCTCCCCTCATTGAGTTTTCCAGAAAGCTGTAAGACACGTCAAATGGTGTCAATGTTCTGGAGACAGGACTCTCTGAGGACTTTCATACACAGTCTGCCTCCATCTTGGCTGGAACTGGGAGGCACAGTTTCTAGTAGCTGGAAGGCTTCTGGGGCAAGGGTAATAGGAGCAGGACAGGTTCAGATGCCCCAAAGCCCGCCATTGGAGACTCAGTAGTTTTTCTTGAATCAACATTTCTCATATTATTGTAAGCCTTGGGTTAATTTCCAGAGTATGAAAAAGTTGATTTTGATTATTTTTTGCGAGTGCCTTTATGAAGGGAAAGATTGGAGGAGGTCTTTATTCCATTATTCCAGGAGCTCCCACTTCTTTTAGGATAAATTAGGCACAAGATGATGACCCTCCAGCCTGGGTCACAGGAGTAGAGATGGTCAGTGTTGCAGAAATTGTAAGTAAATATTCAATACAATGTTTTACTGGGATCTGGTGGCCAAGAGGAGGTGGAGAGACAGAGATGATGCCAGCCCCACTGTGTCATTCTCCCTGACCCAACTGCAGAGTCACTGTGTTCATTCAGAGGCTGGGGCAACTCACAGCCAGAATGAACTCCCCTTAAGGAATGGGACCTCTTCCCTCACTCAGAATGAGCTCTCAGTGCCTCCACTTAACACCATGCCCTTGCATCTCCCACAACTGTTTGAATGATTTCCGTGTGGTTTTATTGTGGTTCAGTAGGCAAAGAAAATTCCTTTGTCATGAATGCTAAGTCCTAAGTACTATTTAATGTAAACTCTTCTCTATGTCCAAGAGAAAGATAGGCCACATATTGAAAACAAAATCAGAAATTATTCCATGAGACAGGAGTGGAAGAAGGATATTAGGATTCAGGAACATTCCTCAGAGTAATTTGAATTCACAGAATCTGCACTAAAAATACTTTAAACACTTACTCTCTTATATTAAAAAATTGGTTGCTACAGTATACCTGCACATAACTAAAAGGAATTTTTGCCCATAGTCTCACCTATGGTAAGTAAAATGAACTGTTTCTGATTGAAAGGACATAGAAAAAAATAATATGCCGATTTCAGAGAGTTTAAAATTATATTACTTAAGCCACAACATTTGGAAACAGTAAAATCAACATCTGAGAAGAAAATAGTCGTCCTTGTTCCGGCCAAGATGGAGGCATAGGTACATATGCACTGTGCTTCCTCGCACAACTAAAAGAAAGACAACAACAATTTTAAAAACAAAAATCAATAAGAACTGCCAGAAAATTGAACTGTATGGAAGTCCAGCAACCAAGGAGTTAAAGGAGAAATTTTCAGCCAGACCTGTAGCAGGGGCAGAGATAGGCAGCCAAGGTGGAGAGGACTTGCAGCAAGGGAGCAGCTGGCAGAGGGGCAGTCCCACATACAGTGCCAAATACAGGGGCACTGTAAAGTTGACCCACACTGGTGAACACCTAAGGCTCTGCCCCTTACTACATAACAGGCGCACCAAGACAAAAAAAAAAATGGCCCAAATAAAAGAACAAATCAAAGCTCCAGAAAAAATACAACTAAGCTACAATGAGATAGCCAGCCTATCAGATGCAGGGTTCAAAACACTGGTAATCAGGAGGCTCACAGAAATTGGTTGAGTATGGTTGCAAAATTGAGGAAAAAGTGAAGGCTATGTAAGGTGAAATAGAGGAAAATGTTCAGGGAACCAAGAGTGACAGGAAGAAAAGCAGAACTCAAATCAATGATTTGGAGCGTAAGGAAGGAACAAACATTCAACCAGAATAGAGTGAAAAAACAATAATTGAAAAAAATGAGAAAAGGCTTAGGAACTTCTGGGACAACTTTAAATGTTCCCACATCTGAATCATAAGGGTGTCAGAAGGAGAAAAGGAAGAGCAAGAAATTGAAAACTTATTTGAAAAACAATGCAGGAGAACTTCCCTAATCTGGCAAAGGACTTCCAGGAAGTCCAGGAAGCTCAGATAATCCCAAAGGAGTGTGACCCAAGGAAGCACACACCAAGGCACATCATAATTTCATTACCCAAGATTAAAATAAGGAGAGAATCTTAAAAGCAGCAAGAGAAAAGGAGACAGTTGCCTATAAAGGAGTTCCCACAGTACTATCAGCTGATTTCTCAAAAGAAACCTTACAGGCAGGAAGGGGCTGGAAAGAAGTATTCAAAGTCATGAAAGGCAAGGACCTACATCCATGATTACTCTATCCAGCAAAGCTATCTTTAGAATGGAAGGGCAGATAAAGTGCTTCCTAGATAAGGTCTAATTAAAGGAGTTCATGATCACCAAGCCTGTATTATATGAAATGTTAAAGGGACTTATCTAACAAAAAGATGATGAAAAATATGAACAGCAAAATGATGACAAACTCACATCAACAACCGAACCTAAAGAAACAAAAACAAAACAAACTAAGCAAACAACTAGAGCAGGAACAGAATCACAGAAATGGAGATCACATGGAAGGTTATCAGTGGGAAGTGGAAGTAGGGAGAATGGGGGGAAAGATACGGGAAATAAGTAGCATAATAGGTAGGTACAAAATAGACAGGGGGAGGTTAAGAATAGGGTAGGAAATGTAGAAGCCAAAGAACTTGTATGTACGACCCATCAACGTGAACTAAGATGGGGGGCATGCTGGTGGGAGGGGGTGTGCAGGGTGGCTGGGAATAAAGGGGGAAAATGGGACAACTCTTATAGCATAATCAATAACATGTATTAAAAAAATAAAATACTCATCCTTGATTAACACTTAAAATAAAGTGGTGGTTTTTCTTCAGAATAATTCTCAACATCTTTAATTCAGCAGAAATGTCATACATTTTCTATTTGAAAGAAATTATCTCCTACATAGGAGTATTTGTCTGAGTCACAGAAAGTGCCCTGAAGGACCCATCCTTGCCTGTCCTTTTGTGGGTGTCATGGTTTTGTTCAGAAGCCTTCAGATATAGTTGCTTAAAAATAATCACATGGCACATTCTTTTTTTTTAAGTTGTATCAAGACACACTAGTGTCTAAATACATTTAATCTGTGTCTCATATCTTTTTTTTATTTTAAAGAGAAAGGAAGGGAAGGAGAAAGAGAGGGAAAGAAACATCAATATGAGAAAGAAACATCAATTGGTTGCCTTCTGTACCTTACCTGACCAGGGACCAAACCTGCAACCCCAGGATGTGCCCTGACCAGGAATCGAACCAGCAACCTTTTGGTTTGTGGGACAACACTCAACTACTTGAGCAACACTGGTCACAGCACATGGCACATTCTTGCCACTTTCCCTTTTTTAAAAAATTTCTTCTTGAAAAAGGAGAAGAGAAGAGGGGAAGGAATATGGCTAAAATTGATTATCAAAGGAAACACAGATTATTAAAAGTTTAAACTCCTTTTTTTTGTAAGAGAGGAAGTGACTTGAAGGAAATACAATACTAACTTAGTCATCTGGATGCAAACAACATGATATTTACTAAATATTCTTGCCTTTCCCTTTGTGGATCTCTCAAGGTAAATGATAAAATAGATGGTGTGCAGATGTGTGAAAGGGGACAACCAGGAGGGACTGCTGAAGGTGGGCAAACACCAAGCTAGGCCAGCTGCCAAGTTGCAGGGATACAGAAATAAAAGGCCTATCCCTGTCCTCATGGTGTTGTATTGGAGTGGTTGACAGAAGAAAGAAATGTTCACAATTCTGTGATA